TTTTCAAAAGTACTCCCTCCATTTTTCTTTATTTCGCATATAAGATTTATCTCAAGTATCAAGTTTGACCGTGTTAATAGAAAAAATATTAACATTCCCAATATCAAATTTATATTATTAGATGCATCATGGAATTAATTTTCGTATTATATAACTTACGTTGTATACAATACTGATATTTTCAATAAAAAATTGGTCAAAGTCTATGAAGCTTGACTTCAGAAATATCTTATATGCGGAGTAAAAAGAAATGGAGGGGGTACTTTTCATTATTTATTTGGATACAGATGGCATAAGCCGGGGATTATCCTCCTTGTCTAAAAAAAACTTGGATGCAAATGTAAGCAAGATCACACCAAAGGCAACAAGAGTATTCGTCAAAATTAAGTATTCTCTCGGTTCACAAATATAAGATGGTTTAATTTTTCAGAATTAGATGTATAAATAGAAATTTTAATGGTGTCTTTACTCATTTCAGTCTATACGTAGTTGATATTAAAATTTCAAAAAACATCTTATATTTATTTGTGAACGATGGAAGTATATTTCAATGCATGGTTCAACATGAAACATCAATGGCGCGTTAACTAGGGTTGAGTATTTCATCCTCAATGAACAAACAAAACCTTTGATTTAGTTATTTTCACTGAGAATGTCTCTTTTCAACAAGAAAGATAATTAAGCCTCTGCCTTCTGTATACATTATTGCACATAGCTGTATAGTATTAACTATTCATCGAAGTTGACTAAAATCAATAGCGGATAATGAACACATTGGCTTAAAAGTGAAAGAAATATTTGAGGTCCTCCAAGTTGAACCCCTGACGTAGTAGTAATATCTCAACAAACCTACCACTGATCCTATGACCATCGACCATAATTCACCAGTCGACAAGTAACAACACAACAAGAAGTACCCTACTCCTAGACTGCTAATGTCGATGGTTCAAACCAAAGGTTGAATTTGAGACTTTTGTCCCTAAAACCTATTTTCGAGTCAACATCTTTAATAATGCATGAGGCATGCACGTCGGCAATGCCAAATCATAGGCTTTCACCAGGAAATTGTGTGTATTGACCATCAAAATCATCACTCCTAGCCATTAGTGCTCCTAACAACCTCTCTACTAGTTGGCTCATCCCTTCTAGCTGTTTTGTATCTACTTGGTGCTACATTTTTTGATAATAAAGCGTCCTTTACGGAAATAAACTAGGGTTTTATTAGACTTGGTTGGTGCACGTACCTATGTACTTGTAACATTTTCCCTTAGCTCACCTTGGTTCATTTGCTTCGCTATCCCTATAAGTTACTGCCGGGAAGAGCTTGCGGGTAACTCTCTCCTATCTCATATTTTGTACCAAAGGCTCATTTGTGCATCAGTTGTCCTTACGGGTCGTTCCTCCGCGTTATCCTTCACGTAATGAGTTGGAATATGAAACTTTTGTCTGCATTGGTTTGTTTGACCCAAAACTGCACGCTTTTGATTTGTACTTCTTTCAAAACCACTTAATGGCTAGTTGTAGCCATGAAGATGAAGAAGACGGAAGCAATTCCACTGTTCGATGGAGGCAGGATTTTGCTATTGGGTTCACTAAGCACTTGAGTATGAACTAACTATTGTATGCAGTGGGGAAGCTTGCTAAAAAACTAATATAAGCTTGCCCAAAAAAATCCTTAACAACTTGATCCAAGGCTGGGAGGCAATGCCCCCTCAATATGTGCATAGTTGTATCCCTGATTATTTGTACTATCTCGCAAACTATAAAGCTCAAAAGACAAAAATAAGGAACTAAAATATCATACTACATATAATAGTTGAATAAAAATACAGGGCGAATAAATACCAGTTGAACGATAATGTAAAGCTCCTATTCACATGTTTCAAACAAAGTAGTCAAACGAACAACTTTTTAGTTTCATGGGCAGCTTGCTTATGTATTCTAGAAAGAGAAAAGAACAAAAATGTTGTGCCAATTTCTTTTATTATAAATAAGTGTAATTAAGTGAAACATCCTTTCACGACCTATCAAGGTTCGGGGTAAAAGGCAACCAGACAACAAGGGCTAGATAATGTTAGACTGATCTCTTCCCCAATGGGCCCAACGGCCAATTGGACCCTTGACCCACGCCCTGATCGGGGGTGTCCAGCCCAAGCAAGGCTGGTGGGTCCCTGTCGCACAGTGCCATTTAGAGGAGGTGGGGACCATGGCACAAAGTACGAGGTTCGTCTCCGCCGTTGTTCCCCACTACTAACCCTAGTCCGATCGAGAGGTAGGCACTGAAGCGATGAGAAGCGCCACCAGCCACTTCACCGTGGACCACCACTACTCTCTGCCATCACCGGCCACCGTCACCAGGGCCGGCATCGAGAGCTCCTCGAGCCAAAGTGAAGGTAAAGTATTGCGAATCATCTAGCCTACCCGATCTAGAGGAACTAACAGATAAGACTTGCATGAGAGAGAGGATATGTCCTACCAATATTTTGAACAACAATTGTCGACTTGCCGCTGTCGGCTGCCAGTGTGAGAGTGTCGGCCCCGTGACAACCGGGATCCCCACGAAACCGTCTTGTGTGGGCTACGACATCCCCGTCAATGGGCAGCATGGCATGCTGGCTTGCGTGACCAAGTCCATGACCCTTCTCATGTGGCATGCAAGTCTTCGACAAGACCAAGGCCATGGGAATCCATTTCCTGTGAAAATTCTCACTGACAAGATCAACACGCTGCAAAGAGGCTATTTGACAGCATCTACCACGCTAGGGCCATGTTCCCGTGGAGTTGGGTTTCTTCCCAGGAATTATCAGCATGCTGCAGTGACATTTGATGTACTTTTCCTACGTCTAATGGGTGACCTTAACGTCCATGAGTCATTATCAGGATCTGGTGACCAATTTCTCTTTGAATAATACCTTCCGTAGCATAGATCAATAAAAGTCTATTGGGCTTAGTCCCACATCGGTTGAGGCGGGAGGTAGGACATGACTTATAAGGGTGGGGTGTCCCCTTCTATCAGGCTAGGCTTTTGGGGGGAGAGGGCCCAAGGCCTCTCATAAGTTTGTGTTGCTCTCGGATTGGGCCTGATTGACGCATGTGGGTCAGAAATGCTGGTGTTTGCGGACCCGGGATTTCTTAACAATTGGTATCGGAGCCCAGGTGGTCAGAATAAATCTTGATGGACTCACTGGGGGGCAGGTCATGGTTGGTGGGCCGGAAAGGCTGGTGTTAGCGGGACCATGGTGATTGATGTGGGAGCGGGGGGGGGGGCATTGTTGGGTTTAGTCCCACATCAATTGTGAAGGGAGGCAGAACACGACTTATAAGGATGAGGGTGTCCCCTCCTATCAGGCTAGTCTTTTCGGGGAAGGACCCAAGGCCTCTTATAAGTTGGTGTTGCTCTCTGATTGGGTTTGGTTGACGCATTTTAGTTGGAAACGCTGATTAGCAGACCTGGGATTGCGTAATAAAGTTTCTGGAGAAGTAAAATTAGAACAAGGGCAAACAAATATTCATTATCACACTAGACTATTAGGCTAGATAGAACATGCACAAGATGAAGGAGATGTGGCAATATTAATTATCTCAATTTTGGGGCTACAGTTGTCGGCTTACCATTGTGGATCTGCAGCGATTTGCTTGCCCCTGGCGTCCATCGACTGAGCTATACACAAACAACAAGATATGCAAGTTGGAAAAAACCCATGGACAAGAGACGAGGCATGTGGCTGTGGTGCCTATACAACAACATACGTAGCTAATCAAGTAGCAGTTTAGTCATGTGCGCAGTCATTTGGTCATTGGTATTTGGGCTTTTTTGTTTAGTTGTCTGTGTTTCATTGTTTGATGGGGTCATTCTAAACCTTTTTATTTGGTTCAAGTCACGCAAATATATACTTATATGTAAGTGGCCGAGAAAATCCATTGGGTTCACTTGAACCGAACGTTTCTATGCTGGCTCCGCCACTAAATTGTAGGCTTTCACCCGAAAATTGTGCATACCAACTATCAAAATCATCGGTCATAGCAATCTCTACTAGCTGGCTCCTCCCTTCGCCATCTAGCCGCTGAGAGAATCCAAGAACCTTTGGTGCCCTTGAGAAAACACCAGAAGGAGAATGAGGACCTTGCATCCCGCATCTGGACACTGCAGCGCCACCTTCGATTCCCGTCACC